AGTAGATTTTTAGTAAATTATGATAGAATTTTTTGAAATGTGTGGTTGAAAAGTTGTGAGACCCATAAAAGATGTGGTTAAAATTGATTGTTTGACTTTAAGTTAGATTAAAATCTGATTTAAAATCTGAAACAAACAGGGTCTTAATTTAACATTTGAGCATATATTTGAAATGTTAAATATTCTGGTATCATGTTTCATCTTCACTTGATAAATGTAACAAGTTTCTAGTAGAATTGCACAATAATCTGAACAAGTTACAAATTATAATACATTGGTCACATATTTCAATCATTTTGTTACAGATTATACTACAAATGACACAAATTACACTTCTCAAGTCACATGTTATCCTGTACACACACAGAGGTTATGCTACTCAGTTTTGAACATACACATACATTCGATTCATGTTTATAAGTAACGGATTATGCTACTTAATTTATTATACACAGGTTATAAAGTCTAATGTAGCGGTTACCTATTGCTGTCATTAGGTCACATAGTATACTACACATGTTATAGTTTATTCTACATAGCTCATAGGTTGCATAGTTCTCTGTCCATACGTCACACTATACTAAATTGGTCATATATTACAATATCAAATCAGAGATTATGCTTCATATATCATATGATATTAATTTGAGGTCACATATGAATTACCAATACTAAAGATAAAATATAAATGTTCACATATGTCTGTGAAGTGCTAACATGTCAAAAATTGATGCGCACATATCACAAATTCATTGTTTACAAATTAAATGTAACTGAAAAAAGGTCACATGTCATAGAGTCTAATGCAGTGATCACATATTGATATCATTAGGTCACAGAGTATGCTACACTGGTCACAGCTTATCCTGCATAGTTCATAGGTTGCATAGTTCTCTATCGTCTCTTGTAACTTCTTAATATGTGTCTATTTAAATGCGATGTGCTCGAACTAGGTTTCCAACTAAGTTCTTTACCACAATAATTGTAACATACTTTTCAAATATCAACTCCTTTTTGAACCCCAATTTTTTTACGAGTCATATGTTGCCAGCAATCCGCAGACTTTTTTTCGACCTTTTAACCTCAATTACTTCCTTCTCTTCAATATTTTCCAAATCAATTGGAATATTTTTAGATGCATCATACCCCAATGGAGTACTCAAACCACCTTTAAACTGATTAATCTCATCACTAGTAAAATCCATGTTTAAGTATTATAGTAAAGAATATTGAAAAATAGAATAAAAGAAATTGGAGAGTATAATACTGAAATTGAATATTGCGTAAAGAAGTTTGAGATAGATTGATATGAAATTGTAAAATTTTTTCCGTATTTATAGACAAAAAAATATATTTGTTTTAACTATATTTAATTTAAAAATTCAATTTTTGACAAGATAATTCCATTAACGAATCTAATTTTGTAGTTGCGTGCACGCAAGCAACGGCTTGCCTCCACGCCAGTTGCGTGCAGGCAGGTAAACTAGCTGCCTACACAGCATGTATCTACAAATTGTGTTACTTGCACAGCAGACAGCTTTTAATTTGAATTTTTAAATTTTTGTTTAAAAAAATAATAGCTAGACACGGGCCATTTCGGCCAGTGAAACGGGCAGGCCCGTGTGGCTCAGGCCGGCCCGAGCTCGAGCCGCCCGAGCTTTTTCCACCCCTACCTAACCCCATCATTTGTCATAGGAGATATCAACACAAATTTTCTCTGTTCACCATATAATAAACGGTGAAAAATAGATGAAAAAATCAATAGTTGTAAAAATGGAAATATCTAGAACGAATTTCAACGAGGGAAGTGTAGATTTTAGATGGGAAATTAGTGGACGAGTGTTTGACCTAGCGCAGAGAGAGAGAGAGTCAAAAAGTGCAAAGAGATTAATGACTAATTTTTAATTAGGGTTCAATTTTATTTTCTCTCTCTCTCTCTGAAATTATTACGCAAGGGTGGGGTGGAATGTCTCGGTGAGATGTGCTGTAATGTGATAAACAGGATTTTTGAAAGAAGAAAAATTACTACCTCATTAATGAAATTAAAACTTAAAAAGTAGGGAACATCACAATCGACAAATTTTATTTCTTTTTAAATATTATCTTTTAAAGTACCGTCTCAATATTTGCTTATAAAGTAGTTTGCCTCACCAAAACACGTGAAAAATTAAAAAATTGTAGAAAAAGTGGAGAGAATAAAAATAAAAAATTGGAACAATGACACAATTGTATGCCCGTGCACCGGCCCATATCTTTAGTGATACCCATGCTGGCGCCGCCCTTTCCCTTCCACTTGTTGTAGTTCCATAATCCGTGTCTTCTTTTCCAATGTCAAAAGCATTTTTCCATTTTTTCTCCTCCACCAATATCCCCACTTTCTCCTACTTACCCACTCACAAAAAAAAGTAATTATACTTCAATTTTTGGATTAATCAAAGTTGCTCGTAGTCTAAAACATTATTCATTTAAAGAAGAAAAACACTAGCTCGAGATGTATCACATTTACTAGCTCTCAACTGATACAAATCTTCAAGACGAGTTAGATTCATTTACTTTTTCTACAATAATATTTTTACACGAAATTGCGCATTCTGAACCATAATTGGTTTGAACTACTTGGGTCGATCCAATTTTGGGTCATAGAATCGAGAATCAAATAATTCTAGCTATAGAACCAAATTTTGATTCAGCTGTAAAGATTTTTTTTTAGAGTGTGTTTGGGAGAAATTTTTGTGAGATTTTAATCAAAATTATAGCCGTTAAAATCAATCCGTGGGCTCCACCTGTGAGAGGGAAGGTCAAAAATGGTGGCTATTTTGCTAGTTAACGTCTAGATTTTTTTTTAATTAAAATCCTGATTAAAATTTCTCCCAAACAGAGCCTTAATCTTCAAATGAAATCATAATTTATATGATTTCAGAAGTACTCAAAATTGATAATTTTATTTTTTTAAATATAAAACATAAAAGTGAAATACGAAATGTTACACTTATTATTTCTATTTGAAATATAAAATAAACGGATTAGAACCAACATAAACATTTCTATGAGAAAAATGGGGACGAGATTAGATCCGATTGATTCGGTCCGATTCTCAAGATATTTGGATCGAACGACCAGTGTCCACCCCTAATTATAACGATTTGTTGTAACTTGAGTGTCAGAGTCACAAGTTGACATTAACGTTAACATTTGTCAGTGGTTAGTGACACGAGCAAAGGCAAGACCATACGGGGAAATTCAAAACTAACAACTAATTAACTACTTATTCGTAGATAAGTACGGTTTTGTTTTGTTCAAATTTATAAGCAAGTCAAATGACTTATAAGCAACTCAAATCCTAACCTTCATATTTCAAATATTAAAACTTTTCAAAATTAATTTTAAATTCTACGAAATTAATGATATTATTAATATAAAGATCGTATTACATTGTTAAATTATTTTAAAACTAAAAACACGAAGTTTAAATATCAAAAAATTGAGAATAAAAGGACTCTTATATATCACAAGCTTAAACATTATGAATTCTTTTCAACACTTTGTTCGATCAACTATTCTTGACTGTGGTCTTTTTAAAGAAAACGTTAATGAAATTTTTTGATTAATACTAATTCGCTATAAGTTGCTTGACGTTTTTCCATCTATCACATCCATGATCTAGAAAAACATCAGGGGTGAACCTCTATACAAAAACAATCATGTTATATGTACATCATCTTTTACATTGTGTTACATGACAAATCATCATAGAACAGTTTTCCCACCCACAATATAGTATTAGCTAGTGATTTGGAATGAACTGTCAATAGCAATGTTGTCGACAATCATCGACAAAAATCATAGATAGTCTTGACAAAATCAAATATTAGGCGGTGATTGAAAAGGAATTACTGATAACAATATTATAGTTGATCATCAACTCACAATCATCGAAGATCACCGATGCACAACAATAAGTGATTATCGATGATAATGTCGTCTATGATGTCATCGGTGGTGCTTTGATCGTTGATGGTCGATGAAGAATAATTTGTTCTTCATTTACTTTTTTAATTATTTCACCGATAATTTAAAGTTTCTAATTATTTTTTATTTATATATTTACGACTGTTATTTTATTCTTGACAAAAATAGTTATTCATTAATATTAAATTTTATATTTTAAATATATTATGTATTGAAAAAAGGTAATTAACAATATTAAAAATAATTGTAAATTATTTTAGTTAGTGATATTAAAAACATAAATAACATATTTAATCTATGAAAGAAAATCTCATCAATAAATAAATTAAAAATACATAAAAAATAAATACTGATTGAACTGTCTATCAAGAACAAATAATAGTTAAAAAAATAACTTGAAAGTCAGTAATATTATAATGAAAGAATAAAAAGATATAACTTATTTGTCAATATCTTAAAAAACACAAAACATATAGAAAGAACAAAATTTTGTAAGTGACATCGACGAAGCCATAGGTGATTCCCTACATAGTTAGTGACAACGTCGCATGTCTGTCTCAATCACCAATATATGTTGATATCAATCTAAATAACCACAAGTAATCATTGATGGTTTCTTGTCAATAAACGAAGGATCGTCGGTGATTCTAGACACAACATCAAGGACAACATTCTCAATTGAAGCACCGTCGGTGGTTACTGATATCACCGATGATGTTGATTTTAACGAATGAGTACAATCACTTCTTTTTTTTTTTTTTTATGTTTAGGCATGTTTCTTAAATAAAAGGAAGAGGAGCACTCTTTCAAATTTTGCACAGGGGTAGCACATTCTCATGGTCGACCTTGCACATGAGAAATAGAGATAAAGATATACATATATATTCGATATATAGAGATGCGATAAATTAACAAATGACATTTATCAAGTAGCAGATTTTTCACATGCACTGCAATACAAGTATAGTTTCTCTAACATATGTATCTAATTTTACTTTAATATTTTTTTTTTCGGAAATCATGATCATATATCAACATTGATCAATATCATTTGTTGGTAATGATTCTGGAAATCCCTCCAACAAGCAGAAAACTGGAGGAATTGTAACTGTCATGAGAACTCCATATGCATTCCAGCAAAATGGATCCAAAATTTTCTGTCCTGAAGCAGGAAGCAATTCCACTTCTGAAAGAGTGATGTTAGTACATGGAACTGCATCACTACAACCTAAATGCATTGGAGGGCTTCTTACATCATAAGTTCCCTTAATATTCGTGTAAGTTATGTCGGAAATGTACACTGCTGATGTTTGATTAGTGCAGCTTTTAGTGTTGCAATAGTACTGATCTATGATGATGGGGTTTCTAACGGTGTCCATGTGAATGTTTTCGAAGGTGACTTTAGATACAGCTCCGAATCCACCTTGCCATGTTTTAATTCGGACACCATTATCAGAATGCTTGATAACGGAGTCTGTCACCGTTATGTTTGAAACACATGCACGTGAGTTGCGAATGCCTAGGCTGCCAATGCTACACCAAGAAGAAAAGGTAAAGTTAGACGAAAACAAAATATGCACGAATAGGCCTAAGTGTTTTGAATAACACTTGTTGGACGAAAAAGAGTGATGTTTGAACTTCAAAGGTAACAAAAATTGTACCTTATCCCATGACTAGGACCACACTTTATATTCCTTATATCTACATTATAAGAACCAGCTCCAATGGATACACAGTCATCACCTATGTAAAAATAAAATAATAAATAAATGATTGGCATAAAAAAAATTAATTGCAAAAGAATGAATTCTCGTCAAAGTCTTGAGGAAATTACCATTGGAAATAATTGAATTATATATCTTTACATCATTGGTGTTCTCTATGTGAATTCCATCAGTGTTGGGACTTCCAGACGGCGACTTTATGTAGAGCGAATCGATGTGCACAGCGTGGCAGCTATCGAACCGGAAATGGAATTGGGGACTGTTCTTGATTTTAAGCCCTTGTACTGTCAAATTGGAGCTCATAAAGAACCTTATAGCCTGTAAAGGGACAAAAAAAAATACTTAGTTTTTTGTTGAAATAATGGCCTAAATAGTTGTTTATAGTGTCTCAGTTAACTTACAACTGGACTGTCACAAGGGCCAGACAGGGTTGTTCCATTTATTCCCTGTTTCGTTGGCATGAAATTAAGTTAATTAGATGCTCAAATTAAGTTAAAATGTCGAAAAATTTATTGAAAGAAGAAAATCACTTTGTGAGGTTTGCAGGGAAGATTCCACCAGTTTTCTCCTCTCCCATCTATAAGTCCACCACCTTGCATTAACATTCCATTGATTCTGTAGAAGACGAGCCATTGTCGTTTACTGAATGTTTTAGGCCACGAATCAGGTCCATCCGGTGCCATTAGACTTCCTTCGATCTTCACATAACGAGAAAAAAATATCGTAACATCAATGCTTATTCAGTACGATCATCTTGAATGAAACTTCAGATTTGACAAGAATGTAAAAGATTACCTGAAATATTAATCCATTTTTACATGGACCGGTGAAAATCGTTGATTGTATCATAAACGAGTAATGCTTAGGAACAAGAAAAATAGCAGATTCAATTTGGCAAGCAGCATCCCAAGCTATTTTAAATGCTTGTGTATCATCAGTAAAACCATCTCCCACAGCACCATAAGATAATACACTAAAAACTGCTGCAGGCTCGGAAAAAGTAGCTGGTTGAGGTGCAGGAGAAGGTGGTATCGAAATTTGAGATAATTCACGATGATGCATATATATCGAGTAGTCATAGAGCCTACATTGAACTGAAAGCACAGAAAGGCATAAAGAAACATGAAAAAGCAGGACAAAAAAGCCAGAGAATTCCATAACAAGGCCTAGATTTCCCCTCTCCTAAGATTGAGGTTTTTATAGGACAAAACTATGAAGAAGCACGACGAATTTGGCAAGTTGTCCTAGTAGGCAGGCGCATGCACTCCTAGAGAATGTCTAAACACTAGGATTTGAAGATAAACTGAAGTTAAAATTGCTGATATACTTTGTCAGTATTAGTAGGTGGAATTTATAGGCATTGAGAGTGAAGGCAGCCACGTTTCTGGAAGTCGAAAAGGCCAGAAAAAATAAGTGCTTATGACCACTTAGATCTATCCAGATTGATTAGTTCTGTGAAGATAATACAAAATGAGTTGAGGTGAATGCAGCTTTTTATACTAGAAACTCTTAGTGGAAACTGCTTTTCCACAGTCTGTTTTGCACCTTACATTATTTTAGTCCCCCAGCAAAACCGACCAATTCCATTTGCAGAATGGCTTTTCTGGTAAGCAAGAATGTGGAGTCTGCAAACGTTAGAATTCCCAAAAAACAAAACGAGGATTGATGTTTGATATACTAGACGAATATAATGAATGAAATATATATATTTTTTAATATTGTCAACTAATATCCCGTCCACTCTAGTAGAAGAAAAAGATAGATAAATTGAAATGTTTCATGACTTTGTTCATCTGATTCAATTCAATAAAACAAAACAAATTGAAGTGATACTGATCAGGTAGTACTACTTAGGTTCCTAACTTGGAATTAATGGATGGCCGAGAGCAAGTGGCAAGTTAGTGAGCACGTCTATCCTTATTTTTTTCGTTTGTTTCGTGGAGAGAGAGTTGACCATGGAAAGGGATATTCGAATTCTTGAGAAGAAAGGAGTAGTGGTGGAACTGGTGGTCCCCAAATCATCTAGATCTAGTCGACATGGGATAATAGTAATAACGGCAAAATCTACGATGTCAATATATTTTTTCTCTGATGAGTATATGTTTGTTCCTAAACTAGATATTAACCAAGGTAGATTTTTGTCCCAGGTCTTATTTCCTTAGCCGATTTTTGAGTAATGCTATCATTTAGAATCATGTAGACAGGGGTTATAACCCCACTGGGGATGAATAGTATTACTCTTTTGGTATTCTACTTTAGACATCCATTTCCAGGAATTCTAATTTTGGTTTTCAGTTGGCATTGCATAATATTTTAAAAAATAAAGTTAGCAAGTGAAATTTACCTCTACCTTACTATGACATTTCAGTGAAGAAAATAAATGATAAAGTGAAAGTTGAATAATCTTTTGTGAGGATTAGTTTAAAATGCGATTAGAGGTCAAAAATATTTTGTACTTTAATTTTGTATTTTCAGACATGTATTTTCTTAATAGTACTTTAGCAATTTATATGTTATCTGAAAAATAGTTATTTTCTTGTACAGATAAATATTGCTGCAATAACAAAAATAATATTGCCATTATAATTTTAAGACGTGACATCTTGTTGGACAAAATGCCTATGTTAGATTACCCTCATTCAAGGGTATATTTAGTGACGTTCGTGAATACCTAAGGGCTAAGAGCATGCCAGACTCTGCCAAGAATGGGGGAAAGAAGGTGTCTTTGAGCCCTCCACTACATTAGGATATTGACATATTCTACTCTAGACCACAGTAGCTTGACCTTTAGGTTCGTCACCATTCATCTGGACTTCGTTTTTATATCATTATGTCAACAACTTTCTTGATCTCTTGGACTGGACAAGCGTCTGTTCTATATACATAATGAATGAGTTTGCATAGACATATTTTTAGTGAACCATCGACTTGATCATTGTGACATCATTTGTGAGGAGGCACCCATTCTTTTGAAGTTATGGAGTTATTTTGTTGAGTTCCACAGAGAGAGTTGTCTCATGTCCCTGGACATTCTACACCTATTACCTATGCCGATTGTGGGTGCGAGTATCCACTTGTCTAAAGGCCGTTTAAACCTTTCCTAGTTTCCTTGAAGTATGACATAATCGGTGTTCTAAATTGACCGAGGCATTTTGCCATGCCATTTAATACGGTTGAGTCCACTAATTAAAATGTGATTTGCAATTAGAATCAGTCTACGGGTACATGAAATTGGTACATAAATTTGAAATTGACAACACAGATTCAAATATGGGACAAATACACACACACGCACACGGATACACAGGGCAACATCTTGTACAAATTCTGTGAGTTATTCCCTGTACTTAGGGAATAACTCTTGCAATTACTAAGACGAGAAACAAAAGAAAGAACATTCAAATTGCTTAAACTTATTCTATCGGGTCCTTCATGACCAAAGTTGGCGGATTGTGCACTCCAACTTTTAACTGTCAACACCTTTTTAGTTAGAGTTATGCTATTTAGCATAATTGATATTGCAACATCGGTCTACATGACAATCAAGTGGCATTAAATGATAAACATGATTAAATGAATCACATAATTTTACATTTAATTGAGTTTATCACATTATGGAACTTAAACCGGTGCTCTAACACTAGAGGTGTTAGATAACGTTATTTTTTTTTTAAAAGTAATGTTATTCAGCATATCTCGTATCAAGTAACTAATTTAGGTGGCAATTGCACGATATTAATTAATAAATTCACTTATGTTACGTGATTTATTTAATTGAACATATAAAGTATAACCATCTAAACTGAAACTAAATAACATTATTCTTTCTTTAATAATCATGAAGTTTTTTTTTTTGCACTAGAAGTCGCATGATGAAATTTGGAATCCAATTTTACTGCGATTTTTGATTTACAACGTGTACAATGAAAGTTCACAAAAATTCTGAATACAAATAATTTATGAGAACAATACTGATAAATAATATTAAAAATAAGATAGTTAAATATTATACGTTTCTAACTTCTTAAACCATATTTTTTCCTAACTTTTATTTTTAATCACATTCTCTCATAAAATAATTTTTTACACGTAAATCTAAAAATTTTAT